AGCCATGCCTTCCCCAAGCATGTCAGGCGGCCGGAATTTTCACTCGACACCTTGAGACTGTTGTCAGGTGGCTTGAACAAGGCTACGCGAGACAAGATGTCCTTGAAGCAGGATCCTGACCTGGAGGCAGCTACGTGGGAAGAAGCCTTGGCCGAGCTCCAAAGTGGATGGATTTGGCAGGCACCTAAAGTCGAGGATGATTTTAGAGTTTTTGCCAGGAGATTTGGAATCTCCCAAAATGGTAAGATCAGGGTCATAGATGACTGTAGTTGCTGTGGCTTGAATGCCACGGTGGGGACGGTTGAAAAGTTTATCGTGCATGCCATCGACCGGATGGCCTCCATGTTGGCATATGCACTTGGCCTTTCAAAGGATCACTGCATGTCTTTGTGCGGCAGAACATATGACCTGAAGGCCGCCTATAAACAATTCCCCGTGGCTTGCCAGGACAGAGAGTTCTTGAGGATGTATGTCAATCAACCGGGTGTTGCTGAGCTCACAGCTGTGGGCCTCAACGCGCTACCGTTCGGAGCCATAGGCTCCGTTGCTGCCTTTCTCAGGGTTAGTACTTCGGTTTGGATGTTGGGTGTGGTTGCCTTAAAGGTAATTTGGACCGCATTCTTTGACGATTACAGCGTGGTTACCAAGACCTCCCTTCAGAAGAATGTGGCCTTTGCCGTTCAGTCGTTGTTTGGGTTGCTGGGCCTAACTTATGCGACCGAAGGAAAAAAGGCACCAGATTTTTCGCCGACATTCAACATGTTGGGCCTGGTCGTTGACATGACCGGCTTCAAGGATAAAGTTATCAAGATCGGACACACCGCGAAGCGTATCCAGGAGCTTGTCGAGTCGCTTGACACCGTGACTGCTGCAAACTTGTTGTGCCCCAAGGAGGCTGAGAGACTCCGTGGCCGCATGAACTTTTTTGAAGGCTATGCTTTCGGTCGTGGCCCTGCGCAAGCCGTCAAGCTCCTAGACCGACAGGCTCGCGCTGGATTGAACGATTAGTGTCCGCCATTCCACTTGAAATCAACCTCAAGTCTTGTGATTCGTGGTTCTTGTTTACCGATGGAGCCTTCGAAAATGGTGTTGGAAGTGTGGGAGCTGTGTACTTCGACCCAAATGGCAATGCTTTGGGTTCGTTCGGCTCTAAGGTCCCCAACTCCTTCATGCGACAGGTTCTATTCTATTCAAGTAATCCCATTTACGAGCTTGAGCTTCTGCCAGTCCTCCTTGCCATGAGGGCTTGGGGAAGTGTCTTCAAAAGCGGCCAGCTTGTATGTTATGTTGACAATGAGGCAGCCAAGGCAGCTCTCATCAAATCTTGTGCTGCGACTTCAGTTGGTGAGAGGATTGTCAATGCCATCAGGTTGGCAGAAGATGATTTGCAACTGAGGTGTTGGTACTCAAGGGTGCCCTCCAAGAGCAACCCTGCGGATGCTCTAAGCAGACTGTGCTTTGACAATGTGCCCAACTCCACGATAGTCGACTCGTCTTTGCTTCAGTGGGATGTGCCGTCCAGCTCGTTCTAACTAGGGTGAAGAGCAGCTCACTGGA